ATCATGAAGACCCGGGAACTATATAATATATAACTTGCTACCCTGCACACGCCAGTCATAAATAAGGTATGCTGTTACATTACTTACAAAATAATTTTATATTTTACTTTTCAAATTAGCTAAAGACCTTATGTTGGTTTTAATGTGACAGGGCATTCATATTATTATTATTATTATAATCAAAAAGAAGCGCTAAGCCACAAGGGCTATACATCAGGGCATTCATAAGAATTGTTATTTTTTTTTTACTTTTAAACCCGACTTCTCTAGTGAGAATATTGCCATATGTGAGTCTAGTTCATTCAGCTCTGTTACAGAATCACTAATTATCAAGTTCCTGGTCATAACTTATAAACTCGATTTGTACTGTACAAGCCGAGCATAATGTAGATGACCAAATGTTATTTCTTATGCCTATCTCAACGTAGTTCTTAAGTAAGTGGCAACAAGAACAGATGTAGCCCTGTCACAAGGCTCGTAAGGTTAGGTAAGGTTTGGGGTGACCCCGTGGCCTGGCTGGCAAAGCTCTCGCTTCACACACGGAGAGCGCAGGTTCGATTCCCGGCGGCGTAGAAACATTTTCGACGCATTTCCTGTTCACCTAGCAGCAAGTAGGTACCTGGGTGTTAGTCGACTGGTGTGGGTAGCATCCTGGGGGAAAAGATTGAGGACCCCAATGGAAATAATAGTCCTCAATGACGCACTGTCTTCTTGGGCTATCTGGGTCTACCTACCTGGAGGGCATTCTGGGGATCAACGTCCCCGCGGCCCGGTCCATGACCAGGCCTCCTGGTGGATCAGGGCCTGATCAGCCAGGCTGTTACTGCTGGCCGCACGCAGTCTAACGTACGAACCATAGCCCGGCTGATCCACCACTGACTAGGTATCTGTCCAGCTCCCTCTTGAAGACAAGAAAGGGACTATTGGTAATTCCCTTTATGGCTGGTGGGAGGCTGTTGAACAGTCTTGGGTCCCGGACACTTATTGTGTTTTCTCTTAAGTGTACCAATGGCGCCCCTACTTTTCACTGGGGGTATGCTGCTTTCGTAGGGAGTGATTTCTGTGTGCAGATCAGGGACCAGTCCCTCCAGGATCTTCCAAGTGTAGATTATGTCTCTCGCCTGCAATCCAGTGAGTAGAAGTCAAATGCTTCCAGGCGTTCCCAGTAGTTAAGGTGTTTGTGTTGTGTGGCTAACCCTACGGGGTTAAACATCCGAACGAAATCTTATCTTGTCTGAAACAGAATAAGTGTTCCCTGGCGCGGGTTTTGGTCATATATACACGGGGTTCGTCTTTGGCGCCATCAGTATAATTTATTTGCTGATTGACAGGAAAGAGATTATTCTTGAAAGTTGCCTTCGCAATTAATTTAAGAGAGATTACTGTGGTAATATGCTTTCTTGGGAGCGCCTTTTAGAAATATAATATCCAATAAACACATCTTCTGTGGAGGACTGAAGAGCCAATACTGCGTATAATGATAATGTGTGGGATCTAATACATAAAAAGCATAATGGTTGGATAAAGTTGGCTGCTGCAGTTGTGACTAACCAAAATGAGTTTTTAATTATTATTTTTTTAAACTGATAACGAAGGCAAGTGGAGAAAATTTCAAATTTATAATTTTTAAATTTTGCCCCAAAGGCGAATAAATTGGTCAGTTTTATTTACATCAGTATAATGTAATAAGGTTTCTTTCTCTTAGCGCTGCGCTGAGGATGTGGTTAAAAATTTCTTTTTTTTTTGTACTGATATTTTCAAATATCTTCTGAGATTTACAGATTTCTTTCTTATAAAAAGCTCGTAACATTGTTTGCTAGCATCTATTACAGTCGAAGTTTACAATTAATAACTTGTGCCTGTTAACATATCTCTGAATTATAAAAGAAAATATTCAAAGTCTAAAAATAGTTTTATATGTTAATTTGTTGGAAGTGTTCCATAATTCATAACTTAGCGATACTGACCGTCAGCAACTAGCATCCTAGTTTATGACTAAACAAGATTATTATGAACCAGCTCCAGTTCCCTCTGATGGCATCCTTAATGCCGCTGATGTATGTCTGCTTACATGTTGTCCAAGATATTTTAAAACGGTTATGATGTAATCTAAATTACTTTTTTTAAAGGGTTGTTAGGGAAGTTAACGAAAGGCGGTGGTCCCATAGACCGAAATCACCAGTGTGATGACTAAACCCGCCCCATGAGAAATCCTTACAAATTAAAGCATCATTACTAACTGGAGATCTGTTACTTGTCCAAGCCTCTGGAGAAGGTGAATTAATTCAGGAACTGATTCACGATGGCAGCCATCACAATTTATCCAAGATGGTATGCACACTGACAGGTTAATATACACAAAATTTATCTTAGTTTCTATTTTAGTGATTAAAGTATTTATGACATGTGCAACTATTCATGACATGACCTTGCATTAAAAAATCTTACATCTGCATTCTGAACCCCAGTAACCAGGAACGCCTACACAATATTTAGTTTCTATTTTAGTGATTAAAGTATTCTTAACTAATGTACAGGTAAAATTCAAAATTAATGACCTTGCATTAAAAAATCCTACTAGTAACATTCTGAACCTTGTGTACCGAGTAACCAAGAACTCCTACATAACACGCATAAACTTAGGCTAATCGCTACCCAAAAATAAAATGGCGAAAACGAGTCTTCAGCTAAAACAAAAAGACCCCAAACGTCTCAATCCATGGCTTAAAAAAAAAAAAAAAAAAAAAAAAAAACACAGTACGAAACTGAACCTTGAAATTTGTGTTTATAAAAGAAGGAAGAAATCTTTAGTATATCACAAACTACGAAAGACACTTAGGATCAAGAACTTGTGTATTTTATTATATTCATAATGAAGCGTTAAACTCTCAAGAGGAATGGGAAGGTATAAGTTTTGATAAGCCTTTCACCAGCATCACGTCACTTCCCCCCCCGGCTTAAGTAGAGTTCAGTGGGTGTGGCTGATGGTGTGGGTTAAGTAGTGTTCAGGGGGTGTGGCTGATGGTGTGGGTTAAGTAGTGTTCAGGGGATGTGGCTGATGGTGTGGGTTAAGTAGTGTTCAGGGGGTGTGGCTGATGGTGTGGTTAAGTAGTGTTCAGGGGGTGTGGCTGATGGTGTGGGTTAAGTAGTGTTCAGGGGGTGTGGCTGATGGTGTGGGTTAAGTAGGTTCAGGGGGTGTGGCTGATGGTGTGGGTTAAGTAGTGTTCAGGGGGTGTGGCTGATGGTGTAGGGTTAAGTAGCGTTCAGGGGGTGTGGCTGATGGTGTGGGTTAAGTAGTGTTCAGGGGATGTGGCTGATGGTGTGGGTTAAGTAGTGTTCAGGGGGTGTGGCTGATGGTGTGGGTTAAGTAGTGTTCAGGGGGTGTGGCTGATGGTGTGGGTTAAGTAGTGTTCAGGGGGTGTGGCTGATGGTGTGGGTTAAGTAGGTTCAGGGGGTGTGGCGATGGTGTGGGTTAAGTAGCGTTCAGGGGTGTGGCAGATGGTGTGGGTTAAGTAGGTTCAGGGGGTGTGGCTGATGGTGTGGGTTAAGTAGTGTTCAGGGGGTGTGGCTGATGGTGTGGGTTAAGTAGTGTTCAGGGGGTGTGGCTGATGGTGTGGGTTAAGTAGTGTTCAGGGGTGGCTGATGGTGGTTAAGTAGTGTTCAGGGGGTGTGGCTGATGGTGTGGGTTAAGTAGCGTTCAGGGGGTGTGGCTGATAGTGTGGCTTAAGTAAGGTTCAATAGGTTTGGATGGTGGTGTAGGTATAGTTCAGTACTGTACATGGGAGACAAAGTATTATGAGTGACCTTGCTAGTCAGGCTACCTGGAAGTAGAATATTTAGACAAGTATTTCAAATAAAGTTGGAATAAAGTTTCCAGAAGAAACTTTTGTCTACAAAACATGGAAAAATATATTGCAGTAAATAAATATCTTTGTAATTATAATATCTATAATTTATTATAATAACCAAGCGCTAAACCTGTAAGGGTCAAACAGCGTTACAATAGCTATAACAAAAATTATAGTAATAGTAATGCGACTTAAACAGCATCTTAGAAATAGGATGTAATGAGTTTTGATCCGAGGAGAGGGTAGCTCCAAATCCTTGGTTGAAGAGCCATTCATTAAGATCAACGCACCCCCCTCCTTAAGATATAAATACTTGAACGTCGCGAAATTTATAAACTAAATGGTAACAAACAGCAATTTAAATCACATTTAAAATTATGATTAAACTAAAATTTATTCAATAATATATCGGAAACATGAATTACTAATTATGAGATAAATTATGTTCAAGGCTAATGTAATTTTTGGTGCTTTATTATCAAAAATATAAACATCTACATTCTTACCTTAGGATGCTAACGTTCAAACTTTCATTGATGCTTTTACTTTGGCCATATTCGCCGATGCATATTAAAAGGTTTAATTAGTGGAAGAAGCGTTAAACCCTTTGGAACCACGTATCTACTGTACTGTATTTTACACTTTCGTAAGGCCTGGGAGCAGGACACTGGTATATGAGACGTTATTAAGTTAGAATGGGGTAAGCATTCCTGATATTCAGACCTTATAAAGGTACTATCACACAGGTACCACAGACTACCATGATTGGAAAGATATGATGCTACCGACGGTATGTAGTGTACATACTGTCGGTAGCATGTCTGTGTACATTGTACACACACACATGCACAGTTAAAGACGTCTATTGAGGACTGAAGAAGCCACCTGTGGCGGTATTCTCAATAAATTTCTTAAACTGTGCATGTCTCCATTTACACGTAATTCATGGGGGAGTGCTAAACCCGTAAGGTCTCATGCACACAGACTACTATGACACGTATACATCGCCTAAGTGAATAACTGTCAATCAGGTGTTCAATCAAGTGATCCGAGATGGGAAAAGCAGCTCCAGTTCCTCAGATTAAGAGCCATTCACCAGCACCACGACGTTGATGAGATGCGAGAATTGTTCGCATAAGGAAGTTGACTTACTTGAAGCAGCAGCAGGAGTCTGAGGACAGCCAGGTCGTGAGGTTCCTTGGCTTTGGTTCGCGTGTGAACCTCTATTTCTCCCTCCACTTGGCTTAAGGGTAGTTGCACGGATGCCTTCATCTTGAGACAATAGACGTGCTGCTTCACAAAATTATACCAATCAAGATTCAAAAAACTGTACTTGCAGCGGGTGCTATAGTATGCTGTCAACTGAATCTCTCTTTCGTCCTATAGTTTGGTGTGATTTTAATGAGCTTAAGTAACAGTATCTGATGTGGCTTATGGTGTGTAACAATAAATATTAATTGGCGAGACCTTGTAGCCATAAAGCGCTCAAGCCCGCGCTGAGTCAAAAGAGTTTAAGAGGCACTCAAATTGTAGTCAATATAGCGACCAAAGTACTGGTGTTCGTCTAGCAGGGACACAGGAACTCTCCTTCCAGTGAATCACACTATTCAGGCCAACCGGACTTAACGCCCAACTTTCTATGGTATGGCCAAACAAGGGCTGTTTATTCACTTCAGTCACACTAGGCTAACACCATACACACACACACACCAATTCCCGCACGATTTTCTATTTGAAGTTGTTAACGAAATCTCACTTATTCACAAAAGAAAGTACACTTTCTCCGGAGAGCTGTTTAACGTGGGGTGATCGTACGATAACTTGCGCCAAAGTGTAAGCTCTCCAGCTTAATTTGAAAAGGATGGCCAGAGCCATCAAAGATATGGACACAACGGTGTAACGATACACACTGTCTTGCTGCTCACCACCAACTGAAGCTCTGAGAGCGGGGCAGCTAGATCAAGCTGCGTTGGGGATGGGGAAGGGGTGAGGGGGAAACCTTGGCGATGGGGTGCGGGGTAGGTGGAGAGGGGAGGAGGAAAGAGAGGGATCCTTTGACGCTTATGTTTGGAAAGGAAAGAGGGATAAGGGAAATGTGAGGAGTGGGAATGTGAAAAAAATGAAAGAATGAGAGAAAAAGTGGAAAAGATGGAGAATGGGAGGGAAGAGAGTAGAGTGGAGTGGGAATGAAAGGGAGCAGAGGGAGTGGGGTGATACGCGTGCGTCTGCTTCTGCCTGTTTAGATAAACAGTTTACCCTGTAGCTGGTCAGTGTCGTCACACTTCAGACTAGCTCCGTCCAACTTGTACTGGAATTGCACATACATTTCATTGTAATGTTGAAACTTCTCTCAAGTACCTCCTTCAATAGGAAGCAACTATGTAAGCCTTCATGGAGTACGTCTGAGTCACTTCCAGGATGTGATATGGAAACAAGTCACTCTTATTTTTAGTGTTTCCTTCTGTAATCTTAACATAATTTGCCAATGTCTGCCTGAAACTATCGTGTGTCTATTGCAACCACTGTACAATTGTAATCTATAACCAAGTTCTTCACTACGATGTGCAATGGGGTCATCTACATACGTCGACTACACACGCGGCGGTAAACACCAGGGCAAAAAATACTTTTAATAAACTAGGATTACTAGATTAGGTGATGACTCAGAACTGTATAATTATAAACGAACTTGCAGCGTTGTATGACCCTTATGGATTTAGAGCTTAGTTATGGTGGTAATAATAATAATAATAATATAAACGAACCTAAATAAATTACCTCTTCAAGGGGGGAAGAGTTTGATGCTGGTGATGAGAAGACTTATTAAAGCGCGTGATGTTTGCTGCGACTCTTAACTCAATAACAGTAAATGTCATGTAAAACTGGACGAATAATGATGCCTTTTTATTTTGGGAGATGCTGTAAGTAATGGATTAAATCATAATCATTGATGCTGTTGAATGGCTCTTAATGAAATCCAAGGAACTGTAACTACTCTCTCCTTTTATCAAACCTCATTACCTTCATTCTCCAAGCGTTGTATGACCTCTACGGGTTTAACGCTTCTCCCATGAATATACTGTGAATATCAGTCACGACCGTAGACAAAGGCACATCAGCAAGTCACATTGGTGGAGGTGGACAGTGTGAAACAAACCGCAACAGCAGGAGTGACGACATCCGAATTTTCATTCAGTGAGGCGCTGGTCACCATGCTAATAATATGTTTTGTACAAGTCCCTCAAAATAGACTATCACTTTCTCACTTAGCCTGCCAAAATAGCCCGGCCCTGGACCAGGCTTATCACTCAGGCTGTTGCTGTTACTACTGGCGGTCCACTGGTCCCCACAGCCATCACAGCAGTGATTCTGATATCTTCTGGTAAGACATTAAGTATTTTTAGAAAGGACTTAATTTTAAACGAGTTCTTGTTAACTGACCAGTTTTACCTATTCGGCATATATATATATATATTATATATATATATATATATATATATATATATATATATATATATATATATATTATATAGTGTACTCAATTGTGGTTGCAGGGGTCGAGACTCAGCTCCTGGCCGGTGGGGTGTGTGTGTGTGTGTTATTGTGTGGTATGTGTGTTGTGTGTTTTTGTGTGTGTGTGTGTGTGTGTGTGGTGTGTGTGTGTGTGTGTGTTGTGTGTGTGTGTGTGTGTGTGTGTTGTGGTCATTTACGGCTCTATGCAGGCCGTAAAATATCTATATCTGCTCCACCTCTGATATCTCCTGCTCTGAATGGAGCCGTCAACACTGAACAATATCATAAACGAAAGATCACAAGCGAGTTGAATTGTGAAACCATAAACAGTGCTACCACTGGTACTATTTTCCCTATTTTGAAAGAATTAATCTACAACTGTTATGGATTCCATCACTTATTGGATCACTCCTCCATGATAAAGTTAATAAGTTAGCCAAAAGAAAAGTACCCAGAAAGAAAATGTGGAATACAACTTTGGTGTCTGTGTCTAGCATTAGGTATAATATTAGAAGTAAATAATGAAACAATATTATAGGAATGAAGTTAGCAGCCTGAGGTCTATCACCCATTATGGAAACATGAGTGTAGATAAATGTTTGTGGAACAACTTGACTTACTGATGTAGTAGCCAGGCTTAGGCTTGGTTACAAGTATTTTTCGCATTTTGGCAAACTCAGATGATGATCAAACCAAATGCAAAGTATGTGGCCAGCCCTATGGTCACTATTTTGAGGACTATGTGCTTTATTGTTCACGTATTGAGGAATACAGACATAAACAATAATGACCTATGTGATATGCCAAGATATCTTATTACCGAAAAGTTAACAGACATATTAAGCAAATTTACTTGCAACAGATAAGTCAATTGCAGAAATAAATTCAGACGTACTCGTGTTAATCCTTTTGGGGCCTAGTTCCAAGGCCTTTTGTGTATGCAAATGATTTTGCGATAACCTCCACAGGATGGATATGGGGTGCACAATAAATTAGCCGCTTCGGCGGCAAAATCTGAATCATTAAACGCCCCGTCACTTTCCTGGCTGTCGAGACATTTGCCTTATTGTGTTCTTTTAAAGAAAGGTCAGCTGACATTACACCAAACCGTTCTGGTACTTTATCCCTTCAAGGACTCTTGATCCAAGAATTGCAGCTACTATCCCCTTCCTCAGATTTAAGTTGATTACCTACCATTCTCCCATTTCCCATATGTTGTATGGCCCTTACGGGATTACCGCTTCCTCACGAATATAATCTTTACTATATTACCAACTAATCTTACAGCACCTGGGAAGGAGAGGCAATCATTTAATCACACTTTTGAAGTGTATTATGTATACTATAGCCCCCTGACACTATTCCTTTGTTTGTACCTCTCCCTTATTATATATAATATAAAGTGAATATGACTTTTGTGTCCACTACTCCCTCATTTACAATATTGCTCAGTGTTGACGACCCCGTTCAAAGCAGGAGAAATATCAGAGATGGAACAAATACAGAGATCGTTTACGGTACACAGTGAGCCAGTAAAGCACTTAAATTACTGGGAACGCCTTAAAGCCTTGAACATGTACTCACTGGAGTGGAGGAGAGAGAGATACATGATAATACACTGTATATACCTGGAAAGTACTCGAGGGCTTGGTCCCAAATCTGCACACTGCCATAACAACATACTGGAGTGAGAGATATGGGAGGAAGTGCAAAATAAACCCAGTGTGAAATAGGGGTGCGGTGGCCACAATAAGGAACACTGTATCAACATTCGTGGCCCCAGACTATTTAACATCTTACCAGAAGATATCAGAAACACGGCTGGTACCAGATTAACCAGGCTGTGGTGGATATGTGGGGCAGCAGGCCTCCAGCAGCAACAGTCTGGTTAACCAGGCAAGCACCAGATGAGCCTGGCCCATGGCCGGGCTTCGACAGTAGTGAGACTCGAAACTTATAGAAGGTAAAGGCAAAGATACACTATATAACTGGTATTACAGAACAAGATAGTTGCACATTACGGGTGCTTGCATCACGTAATTTATATAAAATATGGTAAAATTTTATTTAAACAAATATGTTGGTACGACGATACGCAGTTTAGAGAAAAGCACCTGATAAGATGGCAGGAAAGTCGTGTGGTACTAATGGCCATAGTACTGTTGCACACACCTTTCCGGGTCGTCAGTAAAGCACTGGTCGTGTGTGACCATAAGGTAACAGTACTTTAAAGGTCGGAGTCTTAATACGACATTAACAAGTACATACTTAAGTTAGCTTCAAGGCATGGACGGCAAGGCTGAGCGAGCCTAATGTTTGTAAACAAATCACGTTGTGTATTCCGCAGGTATTCTTCATGCTGGTGATGCGCAGTTAATATCAAGGAAATGGATCTGCCTTCCTCTTTCCTGGGATCTAACCGGATTACTTCACATTACCAATGCCCTATATGACCCTCTACGGGTTTAGTGCTTCATCGTGAATACGATAATCTTTTGGAAGCAAACCATTTTTTGTCACCATAGATTAGTAAAGTTCTAAGGTTTTCCAGTTCGAAGTATACTTGCAAAAGTTTCCGTTAAAAGCACGTTCATTTATTTAAATTTAATTCAAAATTCTGAGAACTTGAACATTTCGGCTGGTCTTGGACTATTATCAAGTCACGAATTAAAGAGGACAAAGAAAGCGACACTTGACAGTAGTCTAGGACGGACAGAATTTTAAACGTTTTAAAAAGAGACTAGACAAATATATGAGTGGGAGGGACTGGGTGTGATGGTGCCGTTGGTATGAGAGTAAATTCTTGGGTAGCTGTGGTTTTGTTAAGAACTTGCCTTGTATGGGCCAGTAGGCCTTCTGTAGTGTTCCTCCATTCCTATGTTCTTACACATCGTCAAAAGTTTCTCTGAACTGTAAGTTGTAAACTATTACTCCCAACTCCAGCCTTGGCACATGTCTCGACCCACAAACCATCCGCATCGGTGTTGCCCTTCGACTTGCCGCCCCTATTCTCGCCGAACACAGGTGTATTTGTGGCAGTGAAGCAGCAGACCGATTCGGGTACCATGGTCTTGTGTGCCGTAAATCCGAGGGAAAGATTGCAAGACATGAGGAGGTTAATAACATTATCAAGAGGAGCCTCACAACAGCTGGATGCCTTTCAGTAAGGGAGCCACCCCAACTATGCAGATCTGATGGCAGCCAGAAGCGTCCAGATGGTATCACCCTTCAAGCCTGGACAGATGGGAAGCAGGTGGTGTGGGACTATACATGTGCATCTACCTTGGCTGATACCTATCTCCAATACACCAGGGAAGGAGGGGCAGCTGCCAGCCTCAGGGAGTCCCAAAAATCTAGAAAATATGGAGAACTTGCCCATCATTATATGTTTGTTCCCATAGGCTCAGAGACCCTTGGCTCATGGGGAAAGAGTGCATC